ACCCCGGCCAGCACCAGCAGTTTCTGCACTTCGGTTCCGGATTCTCGAGGGGGACAGGCGGTTGAGGGTTTTGCGTTTAGGGGTTTAGGGCTTAGGGTTTTAGTTTAGGGTTTTAGGGCTTAGGGTTTAGGGTTTTTAGGGTTTGGGACTTAGGGTTTAGGGTTTAGGGCTTAGGGTTTAAACCGGGAACTCCACAAACACAATACCCTCCCCGAGGGCTCGGCAACTCCGACGGAGCATTGCTTCAGCCAGTGAACCTGGTGACAGGGCTTAAGGTTTAGGCTATCTTTAAGGGTTTCTCTAGAATCGGCTTTTATCGGGTTTTGAGATTTCGACTCAAAGATTTCTGTGATGGATTCGTGACCCTGCACTCGCAAAACCCTGGGCTGGAGCAATAGCCCACTCCTGCACAGCAATTTTCAAACCGCGCAGCTTGCAAGCCGTGCCATGGGTCGACGGGACACCGCCATCTTGAACTCAAGAATGACAACGGTTTAGGGTTGAGGGTTTACTGTTCTAAACCCGTAAGCCCTAAACACGAAGAACCGTCTCCCTAGCGAATTCGTGCGTATGTACACACTCGGCTGCGTCGTTGGCAGCAACAATACTGTTCCAGCACTGAGTGGTTAGAAAAGGGCTCCGGGCTTAAGGGTAAATTGTACAGAGCATCGTACGGGGAATGTTACCGTTCAGAGCCCCATATTACCGGTGCAGGCCAGGGAAGCTGCTCACGTAGCGAATACTGATGTCCGGGAAGCTCGTCACAAACTTGACCTGGGTCCCTCTTAGGAAGGAATCCCACGATGATCCTGTCTGCTTTCTCGTCGCCGACTAGGGAAGCCAAACCAATAAAAGTTGAAAAGGATCCCGAAGATTGACCAAGTAGCCGTGAAGTCTGGAAAGCTTGAGACCATTTTCCACTCCCCACAGGAGTGCGGAAAGGAGCGCACGATCTTGACATCCAGGTCCGGAAAGCTCCGCACCACCTTGACAGTGATGTCCGGGAATGAAGTTACTTCTTTGACCTTCGCAGCGGGTCAGAAAGTTTTGCAGCTAGCTTCAGCATGCGGTCACCGGATGCAGGCAGAAAACGTCTAATTTGACTGTCGGAATCTGGGTAGTTCTCTAACTAATTTAGAGAACTACCCATCTAGCAATTGCGGATCTGAGTACATCTCGTCATTATCCGACAACAAACTCGACCGAACTTCGCCTGAACCCTAAACCCTACACAATAACCCAAAAAACCCGTAAACCCTAAACCCCTGGACCCCAAAACCC